GATGGAAGAAAATGAGTAACCATAGAAAAGAGTAGTATCCACGATTACAGATTAGAAAGATATACTAAAGCAACTTGTTTCACGGGGTTTGCTATTGTGTTTGAGGATTCTGGTTCAATTTTCTGATCGATAGATACAGAGTAGGATACTCTGTATCCAGAAGAACCATCTTCCTGTTCAGTGTGTTAGGACCATAGACGACAGTTCCAGAGTAAAACGTTATTTCAATATTTTCATGATAGTAGGACAGCTGGCACCAATTTTTGGGTAGGTACTTGAGGCATTCTGAAAGCTTGTCACTTACCTCTCTTAATATACCCCAATACGGAATGGCAGACCTGGCTGGTCAGTAGCGGGGTTAAATCAACTCCTAACTTATTAGGGGTTGGCAGCTGAAAAGTGCCACTAAAATGATCTGTCTTTTTGGAAATCTTATATTTCAGTTATATATAAAACTCCATTGAAATTTCAAGCTGTCTCAAATAAATTTTTTACAATTTCTTGCAAAATCTTCTTGCACGCGTCTGGCAATGTTAAAACTCCGATAACATCGTCTGGCCTATTTTTTTTGTATTCATTAATATTTGTATACAATGCAACATATAGAAATTGCGTTTTGCCTCAAATATATTTTTGGGAAAGAAAAGAATATTTTAAAAATTTAGGGGACGATTTAGCCCCACTACTCACCAGACATATTGCAATTTCGTATTGGAGTATACCAGGAGAGGTATGTGACAAGTTTTCAGGTTGCCTGAAATATCTACCCAAAAATTGGTGCTTAAATAATGTCTTGTCGATTTAAAGTTCAAATGGGAGCATCAAGTTCAAAAGCTGATCTTTTTTTGGCGAAAATTCATCAGGTATAATTAATTCTGAAATTACATAAAACGTAAAATGACGTTCAATTTCCCTCCCAAATCGTCAATAGAGAACTACGGTTTTCGCGTTTCATTTTGCAATTACGAAGCAAAAGATTTAGTCATGAATAAAAGAACATCCTTTTCTCTGGTGCGGATTCCCATAGGACTGGAAAGAACTGGCAAATAAAATGTGTTTCTTGAATACGGTCGGGAATTTTTATTGTTCACTTCTGATTTACAGCGTACTGTAAGAAAAATATATATTGGACGAGTACAAGGAAACACTTTTGTATTTACGTTCGACTGCAGCGGAAATTGCCCATCCGTTTTCGCATGCCAGACGATTTTCGGCAGCCACCGGAAACTCACGAACGACGGAAATGATTTTATTATGTTCGCTATTCTAGCTGAGTATGATACGTACTGAACAAAAAATAATGCAGGACTTTCCGAGTTTATTTCAATGTAAAAATTGAATAAATAGAACTTCGCTAGCTGCTCGTAACGACTTTCATAAAATATAGCCCAAAAAAGCCAATTCAGGGAGAGTTTTCGTATAATAGGTACGACTTCATCTGGAAAAGCATGAGAAAACCCACATTAATATAACGAAACTGAATACTTAATTACTGTGTGAACAGAATTTTTATAACTCATATAAAATATGAGTAAAAAATGGACAAATTTTGAAAGACTGAACAAGAAATAAGATGATCAAAAATTAAAACTCCAACTTTTACAAAATAGCGCGGAACTTATCTCTCCTATCCGTTAATATGCCCATAAGAGCTTCCATTTTCTTCATGACGACAGAAAATGGAGTTTTGTAACTCGTTATACTTTTATCGTGAAAAATTTCCTTCGTTATCGTTCGTGTGAAACTTCGACAAAGTATCGTTTAGGTCGAAGTTGCATCTTTTACTTCTCATGAACGAACACCCTCTTGGATAACCAACTACTATTGATAAATGAATTAAAGTTTGAATTAACTGAAGAAACATGATCCAACAGAAGGTATTCAACAGTAACAAACGTTATACTTGATGAAAACCTATATCTCTTACTTAGTACATACAAAAATTAGGAAGCTTATTATAATTTTATAAAGCTACTATTGCCCCCCCCCTCCTCATATCATGATAAAGGTTTAATTTAGTTTCTGATTATTTTATTCACATTTGAATGGTTTTTTCTGTCCACAATACGTAAATGAAGAAAACTATGCTTGATCACATATATTCGATAAGAAAAGAAGGCCCTATTAATATAGGTGTAATTATTTCTTATAATTACTTAAAAATTTATGAAGTTTTATTTCGATTGCTGCAGCAATGACAGAAAATTCTCTGAAGTATGTTACTCTCAAACTCACTTTTAATTAGTTAATTGATGACAAAATGCTGATAACTGAATGGTAAACTACCAGAGGTCATGAAACTAAAATAAAAGAAAAAGTTTTTTTTTTAATGTAACCAACATTTGAATTACAACCTGTGCAAATTCATCATAAGTAATATATTCAATAGTGTTGGCGTTTACTTGATGTAAATCCATTATAATTGAATATAACTTAAATTGTAAAATAAAAGTGTAAATCATAACTTGAACTTATGATTTACACTTTATTGACTACCTAGCATGACGCGTTTCATCGACATTTGAAATATCTCTCGATTGCACTGGATTTTGCAGTCTTCTTTGATCCACGCTTTCATTCCTCGAATGGCCCCTCTATTGATGATTCCGTAAGCATCTGAAGAAGTCGTTTGTAACGATGAAACGCGTCATGCTATGTAATCAATAAAGTGTAAATCATAAGTTCAAGTGTTTGAATTTAAGTTTATATAAGTAATAAAATCAATAAAGGCCTCGTCAGTTATTACCTGAGCACTATAGGGGGCAAGGGGTCTGTGCTCTGCGTATTTTTAACAAGTAAGGTTTTAACTTTTTACACGTCTATGCTTGAAAACGATTTGGGGGATTCCCACAAATAATGAATACGTTCAAGTACTCTAAATGTAACCGTATATAATATCTAAATTTGATTAGTTTCGGTTTTAGCTTTCAAGATCATGTTTGTGTTACCGTTGATGTACTTGCGCCAGATTTCAATCGTTTTCAACTTTCCAACTATTTGAACATTTCATACTCATCTTATATTTTATAATGGATTTCCACCAAGTAAATGCCAATACTATAAATATGCCAAAATCGCATGAAAGTGAACAGACACAATAGCAAACTCCCGAATTATTAAAAACATAGAATCATGGAAAAGAGAAAAATCTGTTCCTTCGATGATAGTCAATCATTTGTACCTTGCGCTATAATGAATACCATGATAATGAGGTACGTTCAAATGAATATTATATGTGTATAATTTTCTAAAGGGGGTACATAAATGTAATAAATCTGCTCACATAAAACTTGAACAGGACCTTATATAGATACAGAAGTTACAGATTTTCGGATTGTTCTCTTCATATATTAACGAAGACTGAAACTGAAGATCAGAAAATGAAATTTTTCGTTTTCTCCGATGTGAAACTACGTATCAGAGATATGAAATTATTTTAAATTCGACGTAGTGGTGTATGAGAAAAAGTTTGAGTAGAGTAAAAACTTCAAATCAGTGACAATTTCCACACTAGGTCAACAAATCGAATGGAGATAATATTCGTTTTATCAAATAATGAACTTCACGTATACCATGTACAAAAGCTTCGATGAACACGATCGATAATAAATAACCAGAAATATCCAGTTTATTTCATCAACTATGTCGTACTGCCAATCCAATTTTTCCAATAATAATCGTTTAATGAAACGATATCGTTTCAATGTTTCAATTCTGTCGATTGACCCGAATCGAAATATTAATGCCCGAGGTACCGACCTATGGAGGTATCTAAGGTTTATCATCCACTTCAAGACTTTCAGAACTATTTTGAACGAAGATAATATGTTTAAAGTTCAAAGAAAATTCAAAGAACATCAGGACTGTCAACTACCTATTCAAAGATTGCGTTTAAGGCATATATATTGAAGAGAATGATGCTTTTATAGAATTTGGAGAGCTATTATTTCACACCGCTATTCAGTTTAGCGCAATCAATTTACAGCATTTATACTTCAGTAGCAATATTTTTCACTAGACTTGTCACTTTATCACTAGATAGAATGAAAAAAACAAAATCAAAATAAAATCTACGTACTTAGGCTTATCTTGAGCAAATTTTGAGACATACATTTGTAGGTTTGTCCATTAAGTTAACGTAATTCGACCGTCAGACAATTTTCTGAGTGAGAAATTGCAGTCTCGAGTTTACATAGGCCATTAAAGATAGAAAATTATTTTTTCGAATATTCTGTGCCTAATTCGAGTGAAATCTATACTTTGCATCCTGTTGAATACATAAATATTTAGTGCTGTCTATATATAGAGTTAAATACGTGACATCCTCCTAATTCCAGCTGTTTCAATTTTTTTCGATGAAAAAGTCTGTTCGTGTATGAACTACTTTATAAACTTTCAATAGCTTTAATTGAAATGTTGAAACGTGCGCGAACGGAAAAATTCCACGAAAAATATTTCAATCGACAGAAATAACCGATCCATTTTTAAATGATACAACATGAAAAGTCGATTTGAGTATACTGAACTCCAAGAATTTTCCAATGACTCTTCCAAAGTGACAGAATTACGATAAACATAACGATGATGTATTTTTCTTAGATATTGAAATACGTGATGCAATTTTATGATATTCCCGCTATTTCGTATTGAACAGAAACCAAAATAACTTCTATGTTAATTACTCATTTCAGAAAAATTTAGTTTTGCACTATTTGCCATGAATATACGAGGTGTGATGATTAAGTTTAGACCAGTGTTTCCATCGTAGTGCCCACGCACCACAGGGGGTAATTTGATTATTCAAGGTGCAATTCGAATATCGATACGTGTTTAATCCTTTCGAACTTCTTAATTTTAAGTTTTTCGCCCTTTTTGGGGGGCATAAGAAAAATTAAATTAGAAAGGTTACGGTGTGGCATGACACAAAAGAGATTGAGAAACACTGGTTTAGACAATGGCAAACTTTGATGACCTTAATGCAGAGAAGTTTCTGACTAGCCGGTCTCTGTATTTTAGTCGTTAGAACTCCCGACTATGGTGCGGTAGAACTCGGGTTCGAGCCCCGATGAAGTCATGGGTGTTTGTGTTTGTCTATGATTTAAGTAGTTTAAATAATGAAATATGCTGGGTAATGTACATCGATTACAAGCCCAATGGCCGTTCGGAACCGGCGTTAAACTGTGGGTCCACTGAATTAAAAAAAAAGTTCCTGAATTAAAGATATTACACAACAGATGTTCCTGTTGACTATTCTTAGAAGATATTGTATAAAAATATTTCTTGAAATAAAGAGACAAAAAAGAAATTACCTGTCTTAATCCATTCAGAAAATGTTTAAACAGAAACTGAAAGAAATCTAATAGTTCCTTTCACAAATATCATTACTTACATACGTATCCTTAATTGACGAATTATTTTATTTATGGTTATAGGAATAACAATTGAACATTTAGCATAATTTCGAATGAGAATAGCAAAATGTTTTGAATTCAATGTGACTACTTGCGATGCCTCAATTTGGGGACCGCTGATTTAGAGATTATTCAGGATGAACTCTAGAACCAGTATGGCTCCTATTTACAGATAATACCCATTTAAGGCTTTACGTCCGATCTACAAGTCGATGCTCGATGACGGTCTATTGACCGAAATTAAAGCCACATTGAACGCGATGTAACGGCAACAAAAGATAACGAGGAAGGCAGGATGAAAACTCCATTTTCATTCATTGTCAGGCAAAGTACTCAAATGACAATTGTTTTATCAAATTAGGAAATTACGTCGTGACTAACGTCACGTCAGAAAATGATTCATGGATAATTTGTATATACGTAATTTTAGAAACAATATAATTAAGATACTAGTGAATTAACTGAGATACCCAATGAAAATTTCTAGTGGAAAAGTTTGAGCAAATATATCATTGAAAACTCATGGAAAAGCAGTCGGCATCATTCTGCGGAAATTCAGGATTTCACTTTGAAAATTTTACGCGTTTACAAAATACGAACGAATGTTCAATCCCTTTGATGAGGAACTGCTGGTTGATGAAGTGAAAACGTTATAAATTCAGTATTTGCTTTGCACGAAATGCTAAATTATATCTTGCATCATACAAATATGATATGAAAACGTTATAAATTCAGTATTTGCTTTGCACGAAATGCTAAATTATATCTTGCATCATACAAATATGATATGAATAAAGAGTATTTCTTCATCATAAGCATGATTTAAGTATGTTGGAAGTGTCTTAAGAAAATACATTTTTATTCACAATAGAGTTACATAATAATTTTTCACCGAATAGAGCAGAAGTAGATGAAATAAAACTTTATATACACAAAAAACCTTAAACTTTGAGAATTGGTAGACTTAGACTTAAGTAATTACAAATGACGCCTCATTTAAAGGTAAAATTACTAATTTTACCTATAAATTTTATAGGTCAAACTGGGAATGAGTTTTTTTGAGGATGTTGATTATGGTTGAAGTAAAATGAACAAGGATCAAAGATTTCGTACTATAAATTTCTTCCTTTAAAATTTCAATTGAGCATTTTGTTTTAAATAATTCGCAAATGGCTTTGAAATGATATTTGTTGGAAACTACGAAATTTCAGAAGAATATTCATGTGATTTTCATATAATTTAGGAAGATGTTTCAATAAACACTTACTTATAGTTGGTACTCGAAATTTTATCAATTATAGGTACTTCAGAATTTTTGAATTTTCGAAATTCTTCAAAATACTTTACAAGTTAACAAGTTAATCTTGCTGTTAAGTTCATCTGCTTATATTTTGTGTCACATTTTAGGAGAAAATAATACTTGAACCTCTAGATTATAGCGAAGAGGTTTTATCTGAACATTTTCCATGAGTTTATCAGATTTTTCATGAAAACATTCCGTTCTTAATCAAATATTTTGAATAATGCTATCTCGAGAACAATAAACAGTATTTTCAATTTGAATTACATATACCTTTATCGACTAGGTTTATCTATGGACATCTAACACAACAAGAAGAACACCGAAAAAGTTTGACATATTCTTTCAGATTGTGTTCTTAATGAGTTAGGTACTAATCATTGAAAAAAAGATAAAAATATGGCGCTTCAAACTGAGGAAGTTCTCGGTTTTTACTTGTTCGAAAAATATCAGTATTTTACGATGTGGGAATGAAATTCTTGAAAATAACTTCGAAAAAGAGGAATTATTATTTGAAACATTAATTGACATATTTCAATTCTTCACGCCCACTAAACATGTTACTAATTAGACAGCGAGTATGAATAATATTGATATTTAGAAATCAGGTAACAAACAACTGGAAACTAATCAGAAAATCAGGCATAAAGATATTCAGTACTTTCAAAATGAGAACAATTAATCTATGAGAATTTCATATGATAATAGCATGCCGTAGGAAAAAACATTATACCTACATAAACTGGGATTAAAATACACCAGCGATTGAATTGGAAAACATTTCGTCACTTTATTGCAGATACATATTCATTAAAGTGTAATCACGTGAAATTTTCCATAGACTATCAGATTTAACGAACGATAAATCGTGTACTGATTGTACGTATTAATATTTCGAATATTAACATAGTCGAGATCACGACTTATCTTTATCAATCGAATCAACGTGATGTGTCCGTTTTGAAATTGATAATTATGTATCTGGTATAATATTATCATATAATTATCGTAGACATCGGCGGAGGTTACGTACATCTTTCGTGGAAATTGTGTAAGCCCCGGTTCGTCTGAAGGTTCCTTGGGAATACTGTTCCGATGGAATATTGAGACATTCAAATTCATTTCTATCATCATCTATAATTATTCAGTTTGGGACAATTTAATAATAATTCGTAATAGCTAGCCTGAATTGATCACTGTTCTCGAAGTAGGACCTAATTTGAATATTGGATAGATGGCTCCGTTACTTTGTGATAAAGCATCATATTGACGAGAAAAATACACTGTTTTTTATCGCAATATTAGAATATTGAACTCAGATTCATTATAGATTGATCTAAGATATGGAGAGAATTAGATATTGTCTACTGTTCGTAGTATTACACTGGATTTTCAAGCACATAAAGAATATATACTGATATACTATAATATCAACGTGGCATTAAAATATTCCCAAAATTTTCAACTCAATATTTTCATGTTTAAGACAAAACTACACCGAATGAAATATCTCGAGGTTATAAACTTGGCTGTACTCACTGCAATAGTTGTTACATAGGGCAAACAGGCAGACGTTCAAAGAACATCAACAGCTCTTCAAGCTAAACAGAGAGAATCGAATTTTGCCGAGCATTTTCTAGACTCAGGTCATACTTTTCCAGGTGCAGATAATTTAACACATCACATACAGCTTGAAAATGCAAAAAACTAGATATAAAATGCATAGAAATTTATGAACACAATAAAAAACCACCGCCAATGAACAAATAGGTATAAAGATTTCACCACTCTATGAAACTCTATGAAGAATAATACTACACATGGCGCAGGACATATTAAGAAGAAGAATGCAAACTCTACTGATGTCAACTCTACTTGTATTCAAACATAGGAATTTCTTTATAAATATGCTTGAAAATGTATTTATTCTAGATTACACTAGGTATATTAAACTGCAGTCGCAATATAATAAATAAAGTGATAAAAAAGGAAAGTGTATTTTTTTTTCTATGAGGACATTTTATTTGATGACTATTCAAGGAAACACTTGACATAATTCCATTGTACATCTGTAATTTATTTGAAAATTCTCACGTCAAGTGAAATTTATGATCGGTATTATCACAACAGATAAACATTAAATGATTTGAGCCTTCGGTATTTAAGCGAGATTTCTATTTTTGATGATTTATAACTTTTTAATAAAATAGAAAGCATTTCAATTTATCGGTATTCTGAATATGTATTCCACTAAATTCTTGAACAAGGTTTGTTATTGCTACCTGCTATTTATCTATATTATCTAAAAACTAACGAACATCTTCAGATCACCATATAATGATATATTGTCGGAACAAAAACCGTTTCATTTTTAGGCTATGTACTATATAAAAAGGCTATGAATGCTACAAATTACCTTTTTAGTTATGTACGAGAGTATATTAATCCTTTTCGTCTTTTAATCGTTTGATTCATCCTAGATTTTTGTGGTTTGCACATGTTATTCTGCGACCTGAATTTCTATTATATAATCAGCAAAATTCCCATAACAATATTCGAAATTTCAATTGAAAGAGGAACAATTTCTTTGAAATATATCTACTAACACAATGCCTTCTTAATTTGAGTTCGAGAAAGCGATATTCAGCAGAAAACAATATAATAAGATAAAATTTTTACAATACAATAATTACAAATAAGAAGAATGCTCACAAAATGACTGAATTCAGTTTTGAGTCTGATCTTCCAATCGGCCTTAAACATTCGGTATAAGTGTTTTTGATTCAAGCTTCATCTACCACACATTATACTTCATTGAGATCACTTGCCACTAGACTTGAACCCTGTAGACAAGCGTTGGTTAATATTCAGAGTGGAGTATATTTATCTGTATATACATATCTTGATTAGTCCAAGATGAAAACACTCCGTCGCCTTCGCCATTTTGCATCTCATTCATAAAAATTAAATAACTATTTGTAGGTAAATATAGAAGATGAACATTGAAAAGACTACATACCGTTGACATGAAGGGAGAGAAGTTACAAGATAATTCATGTTTACACTATCAACAACACTCCAATTTTTTATGTCAATCACATCTACGGACAACATTCTCGGAATTATTGAATTTTCAATATCATTGAAACGTTTCAAATCTGATACAGATGTATTTAATAGATAATTTGGTATCTTTGCATCACCTACACGAATGAAATATATAGCAATGGAAATCATTTTTCCCGAGTTTTCTACAGAAATGTCTTACTTTTAGGATAATGAAAGAATTAATCAGTTAAGCTCAACGTAATTCTCAATAAAATGGGTAACCGGACATGAAACGACATATAAAATGACGGTTCT